TAAAAAACCAAAAAAACTATAAGTAGAATACAAAGAACAAAAAACCAAAAAAGTTTGACAGTAATTTATAACAGGGAGTGTGTTAGACAATAATTAAAACACAAATGCAGAAGTAGATAGAATTTCAAGACGTATAAAAATAACATGTGCTTAAAGGCACTGTATAGTACAAAAAATAAAAATCGAGCGCTAGTTGTGTAATATAAATATTTAAAATAACAATCTATTTTTTTTCTTTAATGACATAACTTGGAATTATTTTGTGAAAAAGAAAAAAGACATAACTTAGAATCAATATGAGCTATGGAAAAATTTCAATCTGTGTACATAGTGTATACATATCAAAAATTATATTTGTCATTACATCACAATCATGTCCAGACATAACTATTTTGCCAACACAACTAAATTGAGAACTTTCAAATTTATCGATAAGCGAATGATATTTTAATAAATTCTTCCAAGTAATTTAGATATGTTAAAATTCATAAGATTAGCACTTGTTAATAATTACGCAAACATTGTTGTAAAACTCATGAACAAATATTGGTACTGCTTTAGTTGGGCACTTTAGAGGAACATACTACCAATGTAAACTCCAAGATGACCAGTTGAGGAGGCCTAATCAATGTTCTCAAGGTGATATGATTTGCATATAAAGTAGATCACTGTTTGGATGATGCAGCCAAAGAGAATCAGTAGGGACAACCACCACCTGCAAAGATCAACATAAACTCCCATAAGCTTGTCTCCAAACCAAAACACAAATAGGAAATGAAATGCCGACTAAATTTCTATAAAACAAAGCAAAAGGAACATGGGAATAGAAACTCTGGGCAACTGTTTGAAAACAAATTAGGTCTAAATAGCATTAATCATTAAAAAAAAAAAAAAAACCTGGGCAACTGCTTGGAAAAACTGAAGAGCAGTGGCAGAGGAAAATATGTGTACTGGCTGACTTTAAAAAGTCAGTTTGCTGGGAGAAAAACATAATTTAAAAAGGGGCTTTAGAGCTACTACAAACGGGAGAGGAAAAACCCATAAAAATTATTGCTGAAAAACAGAGAAGAAAAATTGAGAGTTCCAGCCAAGAAAAAAAGGAGAAGCTGCACATGTTGCCAAAGGAGTTGTAACTCCATTCGTTGGTTTTAAGAATGGTTTTGTGTGTACACTACTGAAAAATTCTGGTAAGTTGTCCCTTTAAACAACAATAACCAAATTTCAATTAACACTTCAATTGACAATAAATTTCATAAAACTCACCATCCATAAACTAATACAAAATTTCAATTAAAATTCAGCAATTATTACCCATTAACCAAATAGAGTCCCCCATCTGACAGATTAAAAATAGGAACCAACTAAAGTCAAGCAAATCAAACTCAACTGAACAAAAGTATAGAACACTGATAAAGACAATTCAAACTGATTATTACCCACGAAAAAACATAACCACAAAACTCACAAATTTATTTTTTCCTTTATTTTTCTTTCCTTTTTTTGGCAACCAAACAACACCAGACGAAAAAGGGGATACAGTTCTTTACCATTGAGATTGAGAGTTTCAGATGCAACACCAATGGGAAGAGCATCGGTCCAGTGCTTTGCAGGTTCATTGAACCTTACCTTGAGTGGCCTCGTAGTCTCTGATGCTACCAAGCTTTAAGGTCCAGTGCTCTGTTTCAAACCAGAACCTAGTCACCAACTGGGCTAATGGAAACAGCAAGCTCTCAAGTCTTCCTTTTTCTTTCTAAAATCTTTGAATGTCACTGGGTTTTGCTCATATACCAACCAAAATTTTTGGGTCTTTCTTCTTTCACAGTTTGCTCATATACCAGCATATGGGTTTCCCCAACTTGGGTACTGATATGGGTCTCTCTAATCCAAAGAAAATCTCAACGACCCACAAAGAAGAGAGCTGGGCGCTGTTGGAGCTGGGCGCTTGAGGGGAGGGGAGGAGATGGTGAGAGAGATGGGGGAAGAGACTGAGAGAGAGAGGATAGGGAGCCGCCGCGGTCAGCATGAATTTGGGGAAGAGACCGACAGAGAAAAGACTGTGACTGAGAGAGAGAGATAGCCGTTTGGTTGGGTTGGAGAGAGAGAGAGAGGGGCAGAGGGTTTAATTGGGGGTGGCGTGTGTTTGGGTTCAAAATGGGCGGGATTTTTTTTTTTGGGTTGAGATGCATTGCAAGCCATTGGATTGAAATGAAAGAAATGAGATGAAAATGTGGGCCTTTGAATTAAAAGTAGATTTAATCTGAGCCGTTCTTATGCTTTTCCAAATAAATTAAATTTTAAAGTAGAAAAAGATTCAAAATGAGTCCTATCTTATTAGTAAAGATAATTAATTTTTTTTTACAAATGCATGTAAAACTTTTACAATATTTTTAACAATATCGATAACAGTTACTTCAGCATAAATTTTTTTTTAAAAAATTAAATTAATAAAATCTTATCTCCGATCAATTATATCACAAGAAATATTAAATGGATTAGTTATATTATCCATGGAAAAAGATATATTAACAAAACTTCAATATAAAAATTTAGTCAATATTTTTGCATCTCAAAAGCTAGAAAAATAGTTTTTAAATGAATATATTTTAATAATTATTGCCTATTAATAGGACCCCACTTTATATTCTTGCCTAGGGTCTCCAGATGTTGTTGGGCTGCCCCTTCATGTTAGGATTAGAGTATTCATAAAGAATAAATATCTCATGCACTGACCCCAAGAATTTATAAAGACATCTGAATTTAAAGGTACCTCTGTTACTAAACTACTCTTGGTTAAGTTTCTTATTAGGGGTGTTCAAAATTTTAATTAGCCGTAATTTTCTACCCTATCCACCCTATTGAACGGCTAGCCGATAAAATCGAGTTGAAATGTGAAAGAGTTTTTGTATTCTTACTTTACCCTACTCGCATTAATTAATTAATTTATTTTTTTCCTAATAATATGATTTAAACTTAAAATAATTGTTATTGTATTTATGCAACAATTATGATGGATTGATATTTATGCTATCTTGTGTTTTATTGTAATTGTTATTGTAATTATTCTAGATTTTTGTGTTATTGGTTTATTATGTTGTTAAATTAGTGCATGTTATTTAATTGAATTGTTAAAATAATTCAAAAATTAACAATTATAAAAGTGTTCATGCGATTTTTCATCCGACTTTCTACCTGATTAATTTGACAGAAAGTCAGATAGAAATATCACATTTGATCTGATAGGATAGATCAAGAATTTTTTTTTTACAAAGTATTAAATAGAAAAACGAAATATTATATTTTTTACTCATAAAATAGGCTTAGGTAGGATAGGATAGGGGGTAAGACAGGGTGAACACCCTATTTCATGTCTAGCAACTAGATGTGATCCGCGAGAAGACCATTGCAAGTACAAGCTCTCTACATTTTTGGCTAGTCCCCGTCACATTGTTAAGGAAAAATTACACTTTAACCATTAAACCACAACTTTAATGTCATTTTACCATCTGAAATTCCTCAAAATATCTACTTAAGTATTTGAATTAGTTTCGCAATCTCTTAAAACTAAGGCCCTGTTATATTTTAAGAGAATTAAGGATTAAAATTTTATTTTAAAACGGTCAAAATAAACGAAATATTTTTATTTTTAAGAAGATTGAAATGAATTAGTAATGAAAATAAAATTTTAATATTTTGAGGTGTTCAATAATGTTTCAAAATATATTATAATATTTCAATGCATTTGCAGTTTACACAATTATTTCTGAATTTTTCAAGATATTTCAAGATAATTGAATATATTTTGACCAATGTTTTAAAAAAATAATTTTAAATTTTTTTTATGGACTTTTCCCAATTTGCACCCTAAAAGATTTCAAGTTTTTTACTTTATATGTTCAAAAATTAAATTTTTTATAATGTACTCTCAAAATATTAAAAATATTATAATTTGACCCTTCTTCTGTTAACTTCTGATATTTTTTGTCAAAAGTTAACCTATTGATATTGATGAAAAAATTAACTAAAAGCTATCAGAATGGTCACATTATAACACTTTTGTTATATTGAGGGTGTAATATAAAAAATTTAATATTTGAGAATATAAAATAAAAAACTTAAAATTTTTCAGGGTAAAAAGTATAATTCGCTATTTTTTTTTTTTTCATTCTATTTTCGAAACAAGCCCAAATATTTTTAAAATACATCGAAATATTTTTATTTCTTATGATTAAAATAATGTATTAAAATAAAATTTTAATCTTTAGAGAGAATATATCCACGTGTTATACAAAATAAAATGAAGTAACATAATTTTGAATGAAAAGTGAAACAACTTGTCTTCAAATTTGTAACCGACATTAATTGTTGAGAAGATTGAAAGTAATAAGTATTGTTGAGACAATCATGTGCGAAGATATTTTATAGGGAATGATATTGTAATTTGCCGCCATTCTAACGGTGTTGCTTGAATAGGATAGGGTTTTTGAGACCAAGCCAAAGCCGTAATAGTTAGAAGAGCGTAAGAAAGTTAACAACATTACTCTAATAAGAGTCAACAACGCGGAACAAGTCTTCCACTTTTGTCCCTTTTTCATTGGTCTAAGACTTGCAAAAGGAGCCAGAGGGCATCGAGGAACGATCATCATGTATCTAATTGTTTGTGGGAACTCAGGAGAAGAAGAAAAAGCAACAAATTACATATCAGCAACAATTTGAGCCATTTGTAGCAATCGTTGAAATGGTAAGAGGAATACTGGAAAACCCAATTCGTATATTTACTTGAATCTAGAATTTTTTTTTTGTTTTCATGCGTCGAAGGGTTTTGCTTGAGAGCATTCAATGATTGGTGTCTTGTTTTTTGATGCTGTAGTCCGTGAATCTCGAGAGATTTTGTTGTTTTTTTTACCTGGGTTTTGCTTGGATTTGCGATTAGAGGACTCCGAAGTGGTGGATGCTGAATACCGAGTTCAGTAAGTCCCAGGTGTCTTGGAGGCAGATTCTTGATGGATAAGTTATGCTGTTTTAATACAGCTTGTTTTCCGGTAATCTTTTCTTTTGTTTATTTATGATATTTCATTTGATTGTTTGATTTTCTTAGGTATTGAAGTTTAATCAATAGGATGAGGCAAACATGGGAATCATGTAATTATGGAGATATTGTTGTGATTTTTTTTTTTTTTTTTGGGAGTTGGAATATTTTTGTGATTGATTTCGAGGTTCTGCCTAATTTTCTAGTTGGGTGTTCTAAGCTTCAGAAATGTTTAATGTACTCTTCTGGTTTCTAATAGGATTAATGATCTTCGAAAGGTGCATACACAGAGGTAGCACGAAAACCGTTAGGAGCTGAACTGTAATAATTATTAGGATGGATGTGGGCGTCTTATAAAATTTGAACTGACTCATTGCATTTTCCATGGCGTTTAGAGTAAAAGTTCATCCCCTAAATGGTGCTAGTAAGGAAAATTGGAAGTTCCACCATATCTCTGGGTATTTGATCCTATATGTGGTTTCTTTTACCTGACCGATTTTAGAACTTGGCAAATGAGAAACTTTGTAACCAGGGCTGGAAAAATTCCTGAAATATGGTCTTTATCCCTTGAATACCAACCAATTCGGCTATTATGTTGTGCTCATGATGTCTATACCAGTATAAATGGTACTCGAAGGTGGATTGGACAAATACCTACCCTTTGATATTTTTCTGTTTGAAGTAGCCACTCTTTTACTTGGACCTGCATTCTCATGCTTAGCATCGCACCATTTTAACATTGCAACAAGCAAGGGACCCATGGTCCAATATACGGATGAAAATAAAATATTTTTAAGGATTGGCAAGATTACTGCAATACAACTTCTGTTTGTTTTCCAACTTGACATGGATAAGAATTGATCTCATCATCCCACCCTACTGTATAGAATAGATGTCATGCTAGTACTTTGCCACCATGCTATTACAGTTTTGGCACAATTGTTCTAATCAAATATTTTATGAGATATAATAGCTTCTAACAGCATGTTTCTGCCTTCATTTTTCTATAAGGTAACTTGAGGTTTCATTGTCTATGGAAGTAAATATTAACCAATACATTGCTTTTTTCTATCCTTCCAATGATTAGTGGAGAGAATAAGTCAACTTTAAAGTGTGACAGATTATAACTGCTCTTTGTTGAATCTTTATCAACTTCTAAATCATGCAAATCTTGGGGTTAAAGTATTTTTCTTAGTTTCCTTTTCTTCTTTTATTGATTTGGGAGGAATTTTATGATTTAGTATGTAGGAGTGCATTCCTCGTATAGCGTTGGTAAGGGAAAAAACCATGAGGGTCAAATCAAGTATGGTTTCAGCCTAGTAAAGGGGAAAGCTGATCATCCCATGGAGGATTACCATGTTGCTGAGTTTGTACAGATAGAAGAACATGAGCTTGGGCTATTTGCTATTTATGATGGCCATTTGGGGGATGGTGTACCTGCCTACCTTCAAAAGCATTTGTTTGCCAACATCCTAAAGGAGGTAGACTGTTAGTTCAAGATTGTGATGATTGTTTATTCATTTTGTTGTGGATATTGTTGTCGATATTCATTTCATGACATACACTTCTGGTTCGACTACTCTAGGGAGAATTTTGGGCTGACCCAAGGAAATCAATCTCAAAAGCCTATGAGAGGACCGACGAAGCAATTCTTTCGCATAGTTCCAACCTGGGACGAGGTGGGTCTACTGCTGTTACAGCAATTCTAATCAATGGCCGAAGGTTGTGGGTAGCCAATGTGGGAGATTCACGAGCTGTTCTTTCTAGGGGAGGTCAGGCTATTCAGATGTCTACAGACCATGAGCCTAACACTGAACGGCGAATCATTGAGAACAAAGGAGGCTTTGTCTCAAACTTGCCAGGTTCTTCACAAAAATCATTTTCCAATTTTTTGATTGATTGAAAAAAGTATTTAATGAAGTTAATATGGACATTCTTCATTTCTTCTCCAAGAAATTGGGTAAATTTGTTGCTTGGTCTTATAGTTTGTGCCACCATTTATGTCTTGATTAGGATCCATGGAAATAAACTGACTCGAAATTTCTTCGGTGCTCTTTCTTATGTCTTGAATAATGTCACTGAGAGTGCCATTTAGTACAAACAAATAATCCCGCAGTGGGCTCTTAAAGTTTTTTTGTTTGTCATTTTGGAAGGAAATTTTCCAGTGCCACATTGATAGTGCTATCAATTGGAGATTTGATTCCTTGCTGTAACATAACTATCTTTTTAAATCATATAAAATAGGAGCAGAGCTCCAATTTTTAATAGAGTAGTACACTGGTTGCTACAAATTTTAAATGGAAACCGCTTTAAAATGCAACAAAAATATCACAAAGGAGTAATGAGTTAGTTCCTTTTTCCATCCTTAGTTGTTAATTGTCTTATGAGCATTGATTTGATGCTCTCCCTCGTAGCAGATTTGGTATTATTTTTTTTTGTGTGTTGCTAAATTGAACTTCATTTGGATGGGTGCCCTTGGGAATTCAAGTCAATCTAGAAGTGAATCATTTAATGGATCATGTTGGTGACTTTTACCCAATGTTATCTGAATCATAAGTTGCTTTGATACGTGGTATGTGGTACGGGCACGGTTACATGGTATGACATTTTTTTAGGTATATGGTACAATGGGGGCAGGTTTAGCTAGTACAGTAATTTAGGTCACAATTTATTTTGGAATTCTTATGTAGATTGTTTTCACTACTATACAACATTATATATTACAGAACATTTACAAACATTAAGTTAGTTACCATTTATCTTATAGTTGTGCTTGATTTTCTATTATCTAAACCAATATATAATTATAAATCTATATACTTATAGTCAATTAATATGTATTTTATATTTGTACTATATGTTCTAAAGCGAATTAATTTAAAATTAGTATTACAATTTGGGGTCGTCCATTTTGATGATCTAGATTGTGAACCCACCTCGTTTGGGATCAATGTACCCAGATCCTGAGTCGTAAGGGTGTAGTGAATTGTGGTAACCATGATTTTAACTATCTCTAGACCATTTGGACTAGTGGGTTGCACATCAAAACTATCCACTTTTGCTTGGGGGGCCAAAGCAGGACTTCATGCATCGACAAGTGGAATGCAAGTGGACGCTCTTTGCATATTCTATCGAATCAGGAATGGGGGCATTTTATGGAGCATATTGGTCAACTTGACTCAGTTTAGACACCCTTTTGAAAATTGGGATGCACATAGTGCTGTCCATTTTTCTTGGGGGCCAGACCAGGAATGTAATTTATCTTTTGCGAAATATTATAGTAAGAGATATTGGACTTGGGATGGAATTGGAATTGGAGGCATATGGGTGTATTTGAGTCTCTTGGAAAATATTTTTTGACTTTGGTCTGCCCTTCCTAGTTTTGCCTCTCATAGAGATCGATTTCCTATTGTGACAGTCCTTTACGTTTCTTGAACCTTTTTCCACCCATCATCTTGGCTTCCTCGGGTGGCTCTGGTAGAAATTGATTTCATTAACCAACGGAAATAGATGATTCCTTGAGGTTGATATGTACTATTTTATGTAGCTTGTATCTTTTTGATGGTTGTCATTTTCTTTCCACAGAGAATGAATGTAGTAACCTTTGGTTTATCCTTAAATCAGTGGGAGGTCAACTAAGGTCACATCTCGATGCAACAAAACAATGCATAATAAGAGAGATTTTTTTATGACGGTGAGATTTTGTGGGCGACTCTCTTTCGAATATTGTCACTCCATTTTGGATGATGTATTGGTGCTCCACACTGGGCACAGAATATGTAGAGACATTCATTTTTTTTTTCTGCCCTAATTTCACTTAGTTGGATTTGGATTGTAACAGTGATGTCAGTTTTTAACTTTATAATGTGCTATTTTACTTCAGAAATAACTAAAAAAAGGCCAGTGATCATTAATTCAACAAAATTGCTAAAAAGTGGACAATGAAATGAATAGAATTTAACTTTTCAGAGCAGATTACTGTTGTCTTAATTTACGATTCCTTATAGTGGCTGCAAATCTGAATCATCTTTTTTGAGTGATAGAACTTTGTGGTTGGTTAGATATTTATATGAAATTTGTCTAATTTGACAATGAATATGAGCATTTTTTGGTATCTCTGATTTGCCTCTACTGATAAAGGCAGTGTGGCGTGCATGTGTATAAATGAGCAACAGTGAGCAACAGGTCTCTGGTATCTCTAATCCTAGAGGAATTTTAAATAATTTGCTGTTAACAAGTTTTATCAAACAAGACTCACAATTGGGCGGAAGTTTGTTTGATTTCTTTTGTGCATTTTTATCAGGGGATGTCGCTAGAGTGAATGGACAGCTGGCCGTTTCACGTGCTTTCGGAGATAAAAGCCTTAAGTTACATCTGCAATCAGATCCTGACGTTCAAGATATTAACGTGGATCTGGACATTGATATTCTTATCCTTGCGAGTGATGGTCTTTGGAAGGTGATGCATATTTTCCTGAACTTCTTGGTCCGTTGGTAATAGCTGCTGTGTGTTCATACACTTGCAGCAAATGATTGTCTAGACAAGTGATTTGATAGAGAAGCAAAAATAAATTGCAGAAGTAGTTAATTTTTCCCCTTTGTTTGACATGTGATTAATTTAGGTGATGACTAATCAAGAAGCGGTTGATATTGCAAGAAGAGTAAGAAATCCCCAGAAGGCAGCAAAGCAGTTGACAGCTGAAGCATTAAAAAGAGACAGTAAAGATGATATATCTTGTGTCGTGGTTAGATTTAGGGGATAAAACCTCTTCCACCATTTGCCTCTCAGTTGGAGAATATTAGGAAATAAGAGTTTCTCACACAAGATGCATGTCTCTGGATAAAAGTAAAGCAACACTGAAAATTTATACCCAATTGGAGAGAACCTCTCAGGATTCTGGTTAAACTACCAGTGTGCCAGAAGAAACGCGAAGAGAAAGAAAAGGTTCCCCTCTGTAAATTTCAGTTATTTACCACGTCTGTGTCGTTTTACATCTGTTTTGTTTCTTTGTCAAAGCTTATTAGCATATATTGTTTGTCATCTTTTTTTTGTACAAATGATGGAGTAGCCATGTGTAGATAATAATGTTGGTTTGATTGTGAGTGGAGGGATTTTTTGTGGTACATTTTGTATGGTTGTTCGGAAGTACAAACTGTCGTTCTGCCTTTGGATTGGAATTTGATGATGAAATTGGGTTACTCTTTGACTGCATAAACCAGTTCAAATGGAATGTCATGAGAGAATTCCATTTGACATGCTGGAGTAGAAGGTATAATTTGAAATTTTCCTGCAAATTTGGTTCTGAAGTTGGGTAAGTGCCATATTTTCATAGCATACTTTACATCAAAATAAGTTGCTCATGTTCATCTGTAACTTTCTATGAAGGTCTTGAATAGCATTCTCATTTGACTTAAATGAGATCACCATGGAGGAAAGATTGTGGTTTTGTGAATTTTGGTGATGGTTTCTGTTTTTTACTGAAATTATCTGTGTGGATGGGGTGGCGAAAGGAAAGCAGGTGTGAGACTGGATTGTCAACCACTGATTCCCTATCTCCATCCCACCAATTACCCCCTAATCCCCTGTACTCATCAGCACTTCCCGGGAACAATTGCATCCCACTCGATTTTTGATATTGCAGAGTATCTTTAGGCACGATGCTATTACTAGTTAATACATATTTCACCAAAATTTATAGGAGTCTTAACGTATTATTGTTACAAAATCAAGTTCATAAAATAATCTTCCAATGTTGTAAAATCAAGTTTATTGAACACACTGCCAAATGGTAATCCAAACATTCATCAATAGCGAAAAGTGTAAGGAATGAAGAGATAAACAGCTGAAGGGGACCACCAGAGAAACTTGAAAAAGGGGCAGTTCTAGAATTTAGAAAACATAGGGGTTTCTATGTTTCATTTTGTTTATATTTAACACGATAAATACATGTGGCCATGCAAGTCTTTTTTTTTTTTAAATTTTTACAAATTCCGTACTTAATTTATAAATAAGTTCGGATATCTACTTAAAGCGTGAGGTAATTTAACTGAACTTTTTTGTTAGTGTATAATCTAATTTTTCTCTTTTTTTTATAATGTGATAATATTATTCCTTGTGTCTTGCACTTTACCGACCAAAGCCGAATGAGAGTTATTGTCGTATCTTGCAATTTATCCAACCAAAACCAAACAAGAGTCACCGTATTTCTCATGAGTAAATCTAACTTTTCTTCCAAGAAATTCACCACCACTACCACCCACCACCGATAGTAATGTAAAGACAATGAATTACATGATAGTAAACTAAAAATAGTGAACTAAAAAATTCAGCTCTTCTTCCATCCATAATATATAATAAAACACATCAAGTTTTTGAGTTTAATATCTTTTAGTTCACCGTTATAGAGTTCACTATCGATAGTGGTGGTGGTGGTCGAATATGGTGAAAATTTTTAAATAACCATCTTCATTAAGAATATTTTTATCAATTGTGTATTTTATGGATCTTTTGCAAGTGTCGAGGTTAAACCTCTCATCTTAAAAGTGCATAATGGTGTACCTCTTGCCAAATCTCTTTTTTTTTTTTTTTTATTTCCAAAAATCCAAAAATTAGATTTTGTTTTGATTTTTTTTTTTAAAAAAAAAACTTCGTTGCTACTTGCTACTAAGATCTGGGCCAAGGCCTGCTAAGCCTTTACTAGACGGCAACCATAGTTTAACAAGAAGAAGCCCAAAATGGTAGGGTTTAGAGTTAAACCTCATTTGTTCTGTATATATGTATGCTTATCTCGTGGACTTGACAGCGGTGCTGAGGAGCTTCTGAGGATTGAAACAAGGTAAAACCAGGTAGAAATTGAGTACTGTAGTGATTTAATATGTGATATGTGTATATATATTGCCTCTTCTTGCGGCTACAAAGGCATAGATTTGATGATCGATTTCTTCATGGCTTTGTTCTGGAGGTGTAAATAAAACCTCATCCAAAGCGTTGAGGGTCTTGTTGTTACCCAGATTGGTGTTTTTTTTCTGGGTTTCTTCTCTTTGGTACATTTTCAAATTATGATTTACTGTAGATTTATCTACTTGCTTTTTTCATATATATATGTGTGTGTGTGTGTGTGTGTGTGTGGATGTGTCTAACCTTCTCTTTGAGGGGAGGAGGTCTGAGAGTCTTTAAGCGGCTTGTGACTAGTCTTTGTTTCACCAAATACACATTTTGTCTCTGGCAAGCTTCGTAGAAAATATTTTCGGTAATGGTAATACCATATGATTATCATCGTGTGGTATCGTTATTCAATAATAAAAGAAAATAAATGAGTTGATCCCACAAAATTAAGTGACTACCATTACACCATGTAAAAAAAGTGGGTTCCACTTAATTTATTTGTTATTTTTTATTATTGGATGGTGATATCACGTGATGGTGCTGATTTGATATCACTGTTACATTGAATATTTACTCCAAGCTTTGAATCTCAATCATCCCGGTGTTGGGGCATTTAACATCTGCATAGCACATACATTGCATAAGCATGATACATTTTCTTTATTGCTATTTGCGGAGAGGTTGTGACAGGGTAGGAAAATAGACAGTAGATTAAACGAACAGATTCCATTTCTGAATCCTTGATGTTGATATTGTTTTGTTATTTGCTGATATATCTTCCTACAGAATGTCTTGTGTGCATCTATTGCATTGTGCTTCTTCTTAGGCAGTAGAAAGTGAAGAAACATTTATGTAAGAAGGTTGCTCAAAGTAACGAATGTAGAGTTAATAGGATTCGACATTAAATTGTAGGTTTAAGCTTGGAAGTTTGATCACTCTATTGAACTTTATTATAAGATCTGCATCTTCTAGAATTAGAGTCATTACAAGCTTACTGAGTTTTCAATGTAATAGTTCTAAATTAGGTTAAATTAAGTGTACTTGTATCGTTAATTAATAGACAAAGTAGGCTCTTGAGTTTGATGGTAACTGTTTGGTTGATTTATATCGAGATCTGGTTTTATTACTCTTATGGTCTGTTTGGCAGAATGGGTGAACCATAGGATGGGTGGAAAAGTATGAGGGATAGACTTTCCATTTTTAGAGGAAGAAAAACCATTTTCTCTCATTTTTGTTTGGTACTATGGATGGAAAGTTGGATAAATTAATTTTTTATTGTTTTGTATCAGAGAAAAAATGAAAGGAAAGGAAACAAATGCAAATTTAATTTATTGTTATACCCTTACTAATAAAAAATAATTTTTTTTATTGCAAATAGACTTTCCAAGATTTAAAAATATTAAAATCACTCCAATTGGCTATAAAAATTAATAAATATATGCAAAAATATATATTAATAAAGTAATACTAATATAATTTTTTTTTACAATTGAGCCTTTTAATTAAATGGAAATAAAGGTAGATAGTAAAAATATTTCAACATTATAACTAGAACCATTAAAAAAAGGTCCAATCATATTTTTCCTTGATTATGTCAAATCTCCAAAATATTGATGAGCTTCACATGCCTAACATCATAAAAAATTGGCTAACATCATCACACACAAGAAAGAATAGAGTTTTGAGCACATATAAGTGAAGATGAATGTCAGGGAACCATAATAGTAATTTGACTTAACCCTAATCAATGACGCCATCTTCTCTCCCACTTTCCGCCTAAAAATGAGTGGGAAAAAATTGGTAATCGCAAGGGATGTGTTTTCCTTCCCATTTTTATTTTTACTGTGTTTTCCTTCCAAACCAAATATGTGAAGCTTTCCTTCTTCCCTATTTTTTAAAAAAATATTGGGTGTAACGGTGACACCACGTCATCATCGTCACATAGTGTTACAATCTAATAAGAACATAACAACTCAGCAAGTGGATTCCACATATTTTAGTAATTATTCTTTCATGTCATTTGATAACAACCAAATGGGATTCACCTTGATCACTTGTAGATTTATTATTGGATGGTAACATCACGTGATAATGGTAATGTGGTGTTACTGTTACACCTAATATTTATTTCTATTTTTCACCCTTCATTTTCCATTCACCTTTCCATCATACCAAGCACAAGGTTAATATTCTGAGCTTTATATTAGGCATCTTATTTTGTAAGTGGTTTACATTTAAAGCTAATTCTTCACAAACATCTTGAATTTAACTTAAGATGAGAAATGTGTGGCTATTTTTGGTATTTTAAAACACTATTCTGCGTACTATTTTGGGAAAAAAGAAACAATTTTAAAATCTTTTAATCAAATGTAAAATAGAAGATGGTATTACAAATTATTTTTCGAAATCGTACAAAAGAAAAGTTTAAAATGCCATGCTTCTAATCTTAATATAGATTTATAATAAAGTTATGCTTATCAAATTTATTTATCAAATTTTTTATTTCAAATGATATGACACAATTTTCATAATTGAAATACTAAATGGGACTCACTTATTTAATAGTGAAAAATGTGTCACTTCATTTGGGATGGAGATTTGGTAAAAGAACAATTTATAGGGACCTAATTTGAAGACCTAATGATGTGGTTTCAATGCAATCATTGAATTGGTTGTGAGTTCCAATGTTAGATGGAGTCCACTACCTATTCAATGTTTGTATTGAATTATGTCCTCAGATTAGGTCCCAAATTAGGTCCAAATAACATTTTTCTTGGTAAAAATATTTAATAAGCATAATATTGCTCATAGATTTAGGATGTACATTGAAATTTAGATGTGATTTGTTCACCTCTCTTTTCCCATCTCTCCCACACA